CCTAGCAGAAAGAAGCTGGAGGTGGCCTGCCAGATATTCAAGGGCTGTGGAAGGAAGGGAAAGTGACCAACTGGAATAGAAATTCATTTGTCCACTCAGGGGAACTTCAGGTGAGGCTTTGCAGGCCATAGAGGGAGTGTTTCTAGAACACACAATCAAATCAGTAAAATGAGAACTTTCTGCTCCCTTTGCCTCATCTGGGGTGATCTATGGCCCTGGTATGCCTGGGACTGGAGGGGTGTCCTGAGATATAAGACTTTCAGTGCCAAAGCCATGACAGTCCCAGGAAATCAGGACAGTTGGTCACCCTATGAACCATCTCTTTCCTACACCCTATCTTTGAAGGGGATCAGAAACCTCATTAGCAAGATGGAGGAGGAGAACTAGGTGAGCAGAGGAGAGATGCCCTCATGCCCTCCTTTGCCAAGGGTAGATTCTGAACTGCCACTGGCCCCAGTCCCAGGGGAAGAAATCTAAACCCTTACACAAAATTGAAGTCTTGACTATTACTTAGAACTGCTGTTTTAATTTTACTAAATTGAGACTATATTGTAGAACATATAAGTTAATGTCTGTGTGTGGTAAAACACAACTAAGTTAAAATTTACCATCATAATTGTTTTTTAAGCATATAGTTCAATAGTGTTAAGTACATTCATATTGTTTTACAATAGAGCTCCAGAACTTTTCATCTTGCAAAATTGAAACTCTATACCCATTAAAACAAAAACCAAACCAAAAAAACTCTGAACAATGAGAACACATGGACACAGGGAAGGGAACATCACACACCGGGGCCTGTTGTGGGGTGGCGGGCAAAATGAGGGATGGCATTGGGAGAAGTACCTAATGTAGATGACAGGTTGATGAGTGCAGCAAACCACCATGGCATGTGTATACCCATGTAACAAACCTGCACGTTCTGCACGTGTATCCCAGAACTTAAAAGTATTTAAAAACAACCACTACCAAAAAAAAACCTCCTTTCTGCTCTCTACCCTCCCTGCCAACCCCCTAGTTCCTAGTAATCACCATTCTACAGGCAAATAACTTTTTATATTTCCTGACAGTGACCAGAAAGGCATGGGTGGGGACAGAGTGGGGGTGTGTGTGTGTGTGTGTGTGTGTCCTGTGTGAGTTTTAGGGGATGATGGAGTTAGATCCCCAGAGAGTAGAGCTAAGGACAGTGAGAGACAATAGAGTTGTCTGTTTCTCCTAACGGTTAAACTTAGTTACAGATCTGTGTCCACTGCTAGGCAGGGTTTTGTCTTAGTTGTCCTAACCTCAGTGACTAGTATGGAGCCTGTCACCTAGTAGGTATTCAACAGAGATCTGTGAATGAATGGATTCATTTTATGCAACAGTCGTTGTTTTGCAAAATGTATGTTTGCCATAAATTTTCATAAAAGGTTCTAGGAATAGAATAGTTGGAGTCAGTATAACTTGAAGTCAATGGACCCTTCCAGGAGGAATTTGGGAGAGAGTGAAAATGATTAGAGAGAGTGGAATAGGGTGACGTATTCTTGCCACTTGTTGCTTTCCTGTTTCTCTCCTTCACTAAGGAGGGCAGATGTCCTTCCTTGCTGCTCTAGCCTCAGTGCTCCTGCTTACACACTTCTGTGTCTCCCGGTTGCTCACTCAGCCTGCTGTGAATGCCCCTGCCAGTGCCCCTTCCTTAATCTGGAATAACCCCATTTCTGTATGTGGCGAACCTTTGGCCATGCAGCTGCTGGCACCATGCACAGCCTTCCTGGCCATGTAGCTGGCGCTCCACTGCACTGCCCGGGGAAACCCCTCCTCTCTGACCCTTCTCAGCTCTAGCATGGACATGCTCTGCTTTTTCCCTCTCTGTTCATCCAGTTCCCTGAGCCTGTGGGGGCCCAGCACCTAAAGGGGAAACTTCTTTCATTTTCCATTTCCTCAGGAGATTTAAAAAACAAAACCCATAAAATGCCAGCACAGCCCGATTCATTGTAGGTATTCCATGTATATACATTTCTACCTTCAGCTCCTCAGAGCACAGACTCCAAGCTGCTCGCCTTTGAGAAGTCCGTGCACTAGATTCATCCTCTCCAAGTGTCCCTTTCACAATGGGGCCCAGAAATGTCAGGGGCAACGACATTTTTCATAGCATGGTCTTTGAAATTGTGCCTCCAGCCTTGCTCTCTGGTCCAGCCAATCTCCTTACTGTCCCAGCCCAAGCCTTGCCAGCCCTGGCCTCCCCAAGTTGTTCATCAGCCTCTGGTACCTACCCTACTCCGTCTCTGGTAAGATCCTATGCTCCCTTCCTGGCCCCATTCACATCCCAATGGCCCTAAGACAGCTACCGTGGTCCTTGCCATCTCACTGATCACACTTTGCTGCACATTTCTGTAGCATTTAAATTCAGAACTCTCTCCTATGTGACTCATTGTATATTATTGTTTCATTTTGTATTATTTCCTATTATTTTACAATTGCTAGCCTTTTTCCCCTGCGGTGGCTTTGTATTATCTGAATTTAGTTAAGCCAGAACCAGGTTTCCCAGAATCTCTTTCTCTGTATGGCTCTGGATTAAGGTTGGCCAAAGGAGAAATTTGCTCAAGAATCGGAAGACAGAAGCAAAGCAGCAACCGTGATGCTCCAAAGGTCCATGTCGACCACCTGACACAGGCCGCTGCAGAGCTGCCTCCCGTCTTGCAGATGTGGGTCCACAGCCAGAACCCTTGCTCTTATAGCTCTACCTGATCCCATCTTTCAGCTCCCAGAGTCCCAGGCAGGCACCTGTACAGGTCCGTGGCAGAGGGTGCCATCTTCTTTTTTTTTTTTTTAAGACGGGGCTTCACCATGTTGGTCAGGCTGTTCTTGAACTCCCGACCTTAGGTAGTCCACCCGCCTTGGCCTCCAAAGTGCTTGGATTACAGGCATGAGCCACCACGCCCGGCTCCATCTTCTTATTCTGATCGTTAACACCAAAGAAATTGGAGGCAGTGACAGACAGACACGGGTTTTAGTTTGTCTTTGTGGATTCTACTTGGTTGTCATGGGTTCTGGTTTGTCCTTCCTTTCTCCCATGTTATATTCAGCTTTCCTTCCTGACTGAAGGCCCTGTTGACCTGCAGTGACTTCTGGCCACCAAACACAAAGTCATCAGCTTTCCATAGACTTCTTCAGCAGGTCCCATGATTGCTTAAAGTCTAATTGGTATAATAAAGTCCTTATTGCATATCATGCACAGTGGTTCTGCTTCTGTGATTGAATACCCCCTTAGGTTACAGACACCTTGACGAAAGGGGCCAGTGGCTTATGCCTGTAATCCCAGCACCTTGGGAGGCCAAGGCTGCAGGATTGCTTGAGCCCAGGAGTTTGAGACCAGCCTGGGGTGAGACCCCATTTCTACAAAGAAAGCAAAAAAGTTAACTGGGTGCGGCGGCATGCACCTATAGTCCTAGCCACTTGGGAGACTGAGGTGGGAGGATCACTTGAGCCCAAGAGTTTGAGGCTGCAGTAAACTATCATCACACCACTGCATTCCAACCTGGGTAAAAGAGTGAGACCCTCTCTCTCTGTCAAAGAAAAAAGAAAGAAAGAAGAAAGAAAGAAAGGGGCCAAATGATGTCCATTTCCCCCCTGGAATCAGTGGTCATCATAGTCTTGTTTTAGATTTTATGGACCATATAAAGTCTCTGTTGCTTCTCTCCACCTCTCCCACCCCTTCCCCTCCCTGCTTCCTTCTTCTAGTACTGCTATTTCCTCTACTTCTTCTCTACTTCCACTTCTCTGCCTCCTCTTCTTGCTTTTCTTTCTCCTCCTTTTCTTCTTCCCCCTTTTCTTCCTCCTTTACAAGTTTGAAAAAATGTAAAACTATTTTTAGCTCACAGACCATACAAAAGCAGGCCATAGTTTTTGGATCCTTGGTCTATTCTAGACCAATCATTCTCAAACAAGTGGCACGGCCCTCTAGAGAGTACTTTTTGGGAAGGGGGCAAGCACAGTGATTGGGAGCTATGAATACATTTATTAGGTAAGGTCTAGGGATGATGAACATCCTGGAATATACCAGGCAGTCCCACCCAAGAAAGAAAAGCACCTATAGTATTCAAATTTGAGTCACTGAAATAACTCCTCCTGCAGTGGTCTGCATCTGTAGCTATCAATTCCATAGTGATTTATGTGTTTAAATGTAAACATCTGACTACTTCTTCTCCTTATAGGTTAGTTTTGCCAGGGCGTTTGAACAGTTTTCAACCTTTATTTCTTTAGGTATTTTTTTCTGACCCTCCTCCTCTCAGGAATTCCAAATACACTTATGTTAAGTGGCTTAGAGGTGTCCCACAGTTTGATGATGCTCTATTATTATTATTTTTTTTTAGTATTTTTTCTCCATGTGTTTTATTTTGAACAATTTCTATTGCTATGTTTTTAAATTCACTTGTATTTTATTCTGCAATGTCAATCTGCTGTTAATTCCATCCAATACATTTTTCATCTCACACATAGTAATGTTCATTTCTAGAAATTCAGTTTGGGTTTTCCCCTATATCTTCCATAGTTTAAAGGCCCAATCTTTAGCTTAGGAACATATAAAATACAGTTACATTAATGCTTCAAGTGTACTGATCTGCTAATTGTATTATCCTATCTACTAATCCTATTATTGATTTTTATCCTCATTATGTGTCATATTTTTTGCCTCTTCACATCCCTGATGGTTTCTGATTAGATGACAGAGATCACCAATTTTAACTAATTGGCTGCTTGCAGTTTTTATATTTCTATAAATATTCCTGAGCTTTTTTCTGTCACACAGCTAAGCTACTTAGAAAAGTTTGAACCTTCCAGATTTTGCCCTGAAGCTTTGATAGGATAGGTGTTAAGAATAGTATTTGGTCTAGGGTTGTTTTGCTCGCTAGTGAGAGAGTTTTTATTCTGACTGATATTAACAGGGACTGTTTGTGGCCCCCTGTGAGCATTGGAAGCCCTCCAATCCCTTTAATCTTTGTGGATGATTCTTTTTCTAGTCTCAGGCACTTTTCCTACCTGCATCCTCTGATCACTACTCTGTTAAATAGTCAAGGAGGGTAAGTATTCTCTTCAGATTTCCAGAGCTCTGTCTCTGTACAGCCCTCTCCTCCTCAATGTTCTGCCCTATGAATTCTAGCCGCATTGGTCCCAGACTCACAGTTCTGTCTTCTCAACTCAGGGAGGTCTCTGAGCTCCATCTGGATTCTTGCTTCCTGTGCTGTGGCCTGGAAACTTTTATAGGTGATGGGGAGGTCAATTCCTTTGTTTCTCGCCTTTTGAAGATCACTGCCCTTTGTTGCTTGATTCCAGTGATTGATTCCCTTTGTTGCTTGAGGGGCATAGCTTCATATATTTTGTCCAGTGTTTTTGTTGTTTTAGGTGAGAAGGTAATTTTGGTCTCTGTTACTGAATCTTGGCCAGAAGTGTAAGTCACTTACCTAAGCATTTATACATCAAAATACTGCACAAATAATTTTAGTTTAAACTACTTTTTAAAAATCTCCTTCATCTTCCATTTAGAATTCTATTTAGGGTATTACGTTGATTTTTTAGAAATTCTGTTATTGACAGTTTCAATTGCCTTTTAATTCCATTTAAAGGTAGTGCATAGGGTATTCTAAAACAGCTGTTAAACAAAGAGAAAATTGGGCCTGATAGGGTGAAAATCACAGCTCTAATACCTAGAGTGACCCTATAATGTATTGTCCAAAGGAGATATTTTTGACAGTGAAAGAGGATGTTGCTAGTAATTATATCAGGACCATGGACTAAACCAGTACTAGCCTAGGCTGCCGGGGACGTATTTGTATCCCATCTCTATTTTATGCCTTATACAATTCTTTACTTACACCTACCAGCCTTTAATGAGCCTGCTTTTTTTTGTCCAGCTGAGTGCCACATGCTGACATCACTAAGATCAATAAGGCAAACTCTGAAAGATGGGAAGAGACAGGAGACAGTCCTTTATAATGCAGTGTGATCTGTGCTCCAACAGAGGTGAACACAAGGGCCTTACAAAGAGTCAATGAAGAGCATGTCTGATGGCAGGGGAGGGCACTTATGGTGGAGAAGATGAGTCGAAGTATGTTCATAGGGAGAGTGGGGTTAGAAGTGGTGGGAAAGGTATTCCAGACAGTGTGTGTCAAGGCCAAGAGCCAGGAGAACAAAAGTGGGACTTTTTCTTCTTTTTTTCCAAGATGGGAGAGCATTCTGATTGGCTGGAAAACAACGTACATGGGAAGCTGGGAGGACATGATGGGGTGGTGGGGTGGAGTGGGGAAAGGTAATACTTATAGAAACAGTAGTTAATATTTAGTGCCCCTTATCACATGCTGGGCACAGTTCCAGGTCCTTGGAACATATTAGCTCATTTAATCATTACAACAACCCTATGAGGTAGGAACTATTATTATCCCCATTTTCAGGTGAGGAATCTGAGGCACAGAGAGAGCAAATACATTGTCCAGGGCCACACAGCAAGTATGTGGTAGGTCCTGGAGTTGAATACAGAGTCCCTTTACTCTAAACTCCTGAAAGCCAGATGCTACAAGACGTTGTTATTCCAAGTGAAGGAATGCTAAGGACATCATCCTGTAGGCGACCAGGAGCCCCTGAGGCATTTGAAGCAGGGGAGTGACTTAAAACAAAGTGGTGTAAGAAAGTGCTCCCAGAGCAGCATAAAAGTAGGGTGCAGTGGAGGTCTCCACTAGTCACAAGAGGTGGTGAGAGGTTGAGCTAAAGCAGCAGCAGCATGGATGCAGAGGATGCATTCCCAAACCCTTACGGGCACAGTCCTTTAGCCTCAGTGACCACAGTGAAGGGTGCAGAGGAGAAGCCCAAGAATACGCCAGGTGCTCTGGCTTATATGCCCCTGTGTGAACATGAAGCCTCTCACAGACACGCAGGTTACAGGAGGAAAAGCAGGCTTATTTGGGAAGGAGGCTTCTAGACCATGACTTCCATTTTAGCCATGTAGTTTTTGAGGTGCTTGTACAAGTTCTAGGTGGAAATGTCCAGGAGGCAGTGGGAAACTCAAAACTCGATCTCAGGAGAGAGGCTTGGGCCAGAGGGCTTGGGGAATCATCAGCATAGGGGCAGGAGGAGAGATGCTATCTGGATGAGGTTGCAGTGGAGCATGTACAGAGTTGGGAAGAGGTGGTGATGAACCCAGGGACTCCACTATTCAGTAGATAACTGTGAGATTAGAAAGCAATGAAGGAGACAGAGAAGGATGTGTGAGAGGAGCATCAACAAGGAATAAATGAGCAGCATGTGCTCCAGAGAGGGCCATAAAGACTGGATTTGGCTCTCACAGGTCATACACAAAAGAACCTTGGAACCAAAAGGAAAATCATGATGATTTAAGGGGTATATCCAGTTTCTAGGTCTGCTGTCACAAAATACCAGAAACTAGATGTCTCAAAACAACAGAAACTTATTCTCTCACAGTTTTGGAGGCTAGAAGTTCAAAACCAGGTGTTGGCAGCACCACGCTCTCCCTGAAGATGCCTTTCCAGTAGCTTCTGGGGTTGCCTGCAAGCCCTGACATTCCTTGGCTTATAGATGCACCACCCCAGTTTCCACCCCCACCATCACATGGCCTTCTCCCTGGGTGCCTGTCTGTGCTCCTTCTCCTCTTCTTCAAAGGACAACAGTCATAGTAGATTAAGGGCCCACTCCTAACTAATTACATCTGCAACAGCCTGATTTCCAAAGAAAGTCACCTTCTAAGAATGCTAGGAAGAACATGAATTTTTGGGGCTGTGTGGATACTGTTCAACCTGGAATATGGCAAGGAAGATGACAGATTAGTTTGATTTAAGCTAGAGAGGGACATAGGGTTAAAGGTAGGACATTTTTTTTCCTAGACGGGAGAAGTTTAAACATGTTACTACATTGAATAAATGAAAGAGCCATGGACATGGAGAGGCTAAAGATTCTGAACTAAGTGCAAGTAATTGATAGCGCAAGCTCCCAGGGGGCTGGGGCCTGGAGCGCAGATGGATGGATCAACTGTGGGCAGAGCTGGGGCGTGGGAGGGGTGTGCAGATGCAGATGTGTTTGAGGGTGGGGGGCCAGAAGCTCAGTGGGGTGAAGCGTGACAGCGCAGCTCCGAGCACGCTGGAGATGTTCACCAAGCAAATCAAGAGCAGATGGCGGAGCGAGCAGCTGAAATAACAGCTTGTGAAATCAGCCCTACTTTGTGGGGAGAGGATTAGTTAAGGATTCTAGCCATGGGAACCAAGAGGAGGAGGATAATCTGTTCAATGCCTATTATGGGACTTTGGGGGAGCAGTTTTGGCCTCAACCTGGAGAATATCCTAGAAGGCCAGAAAGAGGAGGCCTGCAATCATGTGAGCCAGCCCCTCACTCTGAGATGAAGTGTCCACAGAGCAGTAACACCGCCCTCTATGTAGTGGTGTTATGGCTGTGTAGACACCTCTAGAGGGTAGCAATCTGGAGGGGTCGTGATGGAAAAGGGCTGAAGCATAAGAATGTAGGCCCAGTACTGAGATAGAAAGGATTCTCCGAGAGACTTGGGTAGAGTGGTGGTGGTGGAGGTGGGTGTAAGAAGCCATCTGCTGTCTCCGTGCTATCATGGAAGTCAATTCCTCAAGAGCAGAGCCAATCACCATTTAGGCCCCTGTGTTAGCCTTAATTTATTCCTCAGGAGAGGAGAATACTCCTCCAGATGCATTCAAAGTATAAGCTGTCTCTTTTCAGGCGAGGACTGGCCAGCAGGTTTGAAATTCTGTCATCTGGAAATTCTCTGATGTCTTCCCCAGCTCTTCCCATTCTTTTGCTTCAACACATTTTAAAACCAGGCCCCGCAGCGGTAGAATCAGCATGAAAAAACAAGTAGGTTTCAGGAAAAATTATCCAAGTGGAATCTCTACTATACTCTGTTTATCAAATGGAAAGCTTAAAACAGTATAAGAGTTTTTGCAGGGTGTATTTATATCACACCACTTTTGGGTCTATAGACAGGGGCTTTTTCTGGATCAAACTGTTCAATTGTCCTGTGCATCCTGGCCTAAAATCAGAGTAGATAAAAAACATTTTAGGAGAGATGAGAGTCTAGCCCTTAATGGCAAAAATCAGGGCTGAGCCCTAAGCCTATGTTTTTATACATATTATACAATTGATTGTGTTGCTGTTATAGCTAGAACACTAGTTCTCCAAGCAGGGGCGATTTGCCTTTCAGGAGACATTTGGCAATGTCTGGGAACATTTTTTTTTTTCCATTTTCAAAAACTGTGGCAAAGCACATAACACAAAATTAGCCATTGGAACCATTTTCATGTGTACAATTCAGTGGCACTACGTACATTCACACTGCTGTGCAACCATCACCACCATCCATCCATAGAACTCTTTTTATTTTACAAAACTGACACTCTGTACCCATTAAACACTAACTCCTTATTTCCCTCTTCTCCTAGCCCCTGAAAACCATCATTTGACTTTCTGTCTCCATGATATTGACTACTCTAGGTATGTCACATAAGTGACATCACAGGGTCGAGGCATTTTTGATGGTCGCAACTTGGGGTGGGGTGCTCTGGTGTCTAGCGTGTAGAGGCTAGGGAGGTCATTCAGCATCATTGACATCAAATGTCAGTCCTACCAAAATTGTGAAACTCTGAGCTAGACAAATCCCATTAGTAATCTCAAGCCATGGAGTATCAGTCAATAGAGACTAGTTATGTTGCATAAGAAAATGCCTCCAAATTTCTGTGGTTTAACACAACTACTTATTTTTTTGCTCTAACATGGATCATTCTTAATCAGCAATCCAGGCTGGTGGGAGTTTCATATGACTTGGGATTCCATGATGACTGAAGCAGAAAAAGGATTAGTGATAACTTGTGCACTGGCTCTTAAAGCTCCCATTTGAAGTGTCCAGGTCATTTTCGGTCACATTTTCTTGGCCAAAATCACAGGTCCACACCTCACTTCAAAGGGAGTAAGGAAGTGCATTTTTATTCTGAAGAAGGACAACCACCACGCCTAGCAATTAAAAATAAACTTCATAGTGTTATCACCTGCTTGAAGCGCTGATATCAGAGCAAGCCTGCCACTATGAGTGGTGCAGGTTGCATTTTTGTTTTTTTGAGACTGCACTCCAGCCTCACTCTGTTACCCAAGCTGGAGTACAGTGGAGTGATCACAGCTCATTGCAGCCTTGATCTCCCTAGCGCAAGCAATCCTCCCACCTCAGCCTTCTGAGTAGCTGAGACTACAGGCCCGTGCCACCATACCCGGCTAATTTTGTGTTTGTTTTTTTTTGTTTTTGTTTTTTTTTTTTTTGTAGAAATGGGGTTTCACCATGCTGCTTTGGCTGGTCTCAAACTCCAGGGTGCAAGTGATCCACTTGTCTCGGCCTCCCAAAATGCTGCAATTACAGATGTGAGCCACCGCACCCAGCCAGGCCGCGTTTCATGTGGCATGTATGTGCTGCCCACAAAAGTCATTCTGTGGCGACCTCATTCTGCATCGTCATGTCTTGCGGTCAAGCTGGCCTTTGCCCGACTTCCAAATTTTCTTTCTGCTTCTTCCTTATCTCCTTTTTGACACTTTAGATTTCCTGCCTTTTCTTTTGGGCTTAATGCTATCTTCTTTTGGCCTCAACACACTCAGAACACCTGAGGCAACTCTGCTTAGGCAGCACGGCTTCATGTCAGGACTTCACGGCTTTGGCCTACAGGCTCTTGCGTTAGACCGTTGTCCACTTCTCAGAAAGTGATTTAGCAGCAACTATGCTAAGAGTTAGGTGATTGTGTTTGGAAGAGATTTCAAATATTTAAATGAGTATATTTGTTATGCTCCATCCAATAGGTCATTGTTTAAAAAAAAGTTGGTGTCTCTTTATCTTGGCTGTACACTAGAGTCACTGGAGAGCTCTTAAAAATATCCCCCATTTCAGGCAATTCTGAATTAATTGCTTGAGCTTTTTATATGAAGCCCGAGAATTGCAGGTTTATTCCTTCAGTTGGAGCACATTTTGCATGCAATTCATCCTGGTTGGTCCCATGAAGAATTCATCTCCTGAGAGACCATAGACTCTGTTTTGAGAAGGCAGTTAATTGGTAACTCCTGCTCTTAAAACTTTTTCTTTTTCTTTTCCTCCATTGTAGAACACAGCACTGTGGGGCCCCAATTAAATAAAAAACTTATTCAAAGATGTCAGATAATTTTAAGGTATTTTAAAACAAAAATCCTTATCCTACCTTGAGTATTCTTGAGTCTCACTTCCATGTGGAAGTGAAATGAGCCTTTGCCTAAGTGAGAGAAAAAAGAATACCCATCACTTCAGGAGGGGTTCCTGTGTAATTAGCATTGCACTGAAAAATTTTGACATATGTTACTTAAAATCCTAGGCAGAGCCATGCAAGGTCAGTATTATTATTGCCTCTGTTTTGCAGCTGAGGAAATCAAGGTCCAGAATGATTAAGCAAGATCATACAGGTAAATTGCTAGATTCGGGCCACAAACTCATATCCATAAATTCAAAGCTCTGTATCTTTTTATTACATCATGCAATATAAACTCAGGGCAACTCAGGACAAGCTGGAGTCAAGACTTTACCTCCTATAAATATAAGTTCTGACTTCTAGATATCTGGAGCAAGATGTGCATGCCTTCCTGTTACTCAGCAGTGCCCTTGGGGCCATTTCAGGGTCTCTAACTGGCATCCAAGCACTCAGCAGGAAGACTGTCTAATGGATGTATTAACTTTCTGGGCCTCTAGCCTTCCTAAACTCTGTTTATACTAAGGCAAATCCTCACAGGGATGTCTCTGATCACACTATCTTAGATATAACTCCTAAAAAGCCTCTACACAAATAAATATTACTGGTATACCCTCCACTTCTATTGAGGGTCAGATCCCCGGCCCAGATGAAATGATTGCTCAGGGTAGGCATGGGAATGACTTTTGAAGGTGGCCATGATGCTAACTTGAGGAGGAATATTAAGAAGAACCAGTGGCTGAGACCCCAGTGGTCACTCCAGGGCTTAGGAAGATGATTGGTGTAGAGGGTTGGAGGGCTGGAGAGCCATCTTGGGCAGTGATTGCATACCCCGCACACCATTTTCACCTCCATCATGTATTTATTTGGGTGACTTTGGTAGTGGGCCACTGGAGTTTAAAGGGATTTAAAGCACTCCAGTTACCCCAGGGCACCACCATGTGAGATACGGAGTCAGAAGGAGATTGTAGTCAGTGACGGCGACATCAAGATGTTTGTGATGAAAGGGAAGTTATTTTGATGATAAGCAACTGAACAAAGGTTCTGCAATTTTTGAGAACACACATTTGGAGACATTTTCCATGGTGTTTGCACGTCTCCTGTTACAGGGCCTGTATAATAAAGTTTTCTTTTAGCTCACATTCTCCGGCTAACCAGGACAGTCACTGCTCATCCACTTTCAGCTTCTCAGATGTTGTTGCCTTTTCTCCTCTGCTCACGCTGCCCCAGTTTTCTTTGTCTTTATGGGATCATGTCCTTTGAAAAGCAGCTCTTAGTGGGTCTGGGAGGAAGTTGAGACAATGCCACATTTCTCCATAGGGCTTTGGGCATCTTTCGTGGTCCTCTTCTATACCTGGATATTTGTGTATTTTTCTTCCTCAGCATAAATGCCCATCTCATGGGCCTGCTGGTGTGGAGTGTTCCTGACTTCAGGGTAGATTTGACTGGATTTGTTACCTGGAGTGGCTGGAAGAGAACATG